TGCCTGACTAATTTTTGTATTTTTAGTGGAGACAGGGTTTTGCCATGTTGGACAGGCTGGTCATGAACTCCTGACCTCAAGTGATCTGACAACCTTGGCCTCCCAAAGTGCTGGGATTACAGGGATGAGCCATTGAGCCTGGCCATGGTTTTGTTTTTTTCTTTTTTAATCACCAAATAAAGATAACATCTGTGAGTTGTGGGTGACCTCCTATTCATGTAATTGGAGTTCTTGAAGCAGAGAAGGGAGAAGAAAAAATAATGGTGAAATAATGACCGAAAATTACTCAAATTTGATAACTGTAAACCCAGAGATCCAAGTAGCCTAATAAATCCTACTACAGGAAATATTTTGAAGACTACCCAAGGCACATCATAATCAAATTGTGAAAAGACAATGGAGTGACATTTGTAAACCACTGAAACAAAATGATCCATCAGCCTAAAATTCTATACCCAACAAAAGTATCTTTCAAAACAAAATGAAAAAACTTTGCAGACCTACATTTTTAAGTCAAAGTGATTAAAATATAATGATGAATTTAGATATATCTGTACATACATACACTATGGATGACAATAATAGCACAAAGATCAAGAGGGGAGAAATGGAAATACATTATTGGAAGATTTTTTTTCTATATGTTAAGTAGTATAATGTCATTTGAATATAGACAACAATTTATAGATGTGTACTATAAACCATAAAACCAACACTAAAATACGCCAACAAAGGAAAGAATGCGATCATTGAAAAATACCCAGTTGCTGGGTGCAGTGGCTTACACCTTAATCCCAGCACTTTCAGAGACCGAGGTGGGTGGATCACGTGAGGTCAGGAGTTTGAGACCAGCCTGACTGACATGGTGAAACCCCATCTCTACTAAAAATACAAAAATTAACTGGGTGTGGTGGCATGTGCCTGTATTCCCAGCTACTGGGGAGGCTGAGACAGGACAATTGCTTGAACATGGGAGGTGGAGGTTGCAGTGAGCCGAGATTGCAACACTGCACTTCAGCCTGGGTGACAGAGTGAGACTCCGTCTCAAAAAACAAAACAAAACAATACAAAAACTTAGTTAATCAAAAAGGGGCAGAAACGAGGGGAAAAAGCAGTAAGAGATAAGTAGAGAAATAAATAGCAAGATGATAGATTTAAATATAAGCATACCAATAATCATATTAAATGTAAATAGTATAAATATCTCAATTGAGAGACAAAGATTTTCTGATAGGATAAAAAAGCAGGAAACTATTATATGCTGCCTACAAGCAATGCACTTCAAATGTAAAGACCCCAATCAGTTAAAACTACAAGACAGCTAACATCAAGCCAAAGAAAGGTGGAGTTACCGTCCAACAAATAATGGGAGAGTGCTATAAGCAGCTTTTTGGGTGAATATGTTTATTATTTTGCTTATGATGATTATTTTACAGGTACATAGCTATGTCAAAACTTATAAAATTGTACACTTTAAATATGTACAGTTTATTTTGATTATACCTCAATAAAGCTATTAAATCATTTAGATAGCCACACGTGTCCAGTAACTACAGTATTGGACTGCAGTATCCTGTAAGGTCCTTGAGGGTCAGAATTGTATTCAAATATCCTCTCTATTTAGCAGGTACAGAGTAACCACTTGGCCAATATTTGTTTAATGAAGGAATGTAAGATACAGCTAGCTCAGTGAGCATGGACGTATCGCTTACCTTTTCAGGATCTGAGTTTCCTGATATGAAAAAATATGATGGTTTATATCAAACTGTCTTTTAGCTGTAAAATTCTGTAATTTCAAACACAGAGGAAGTATTCTTCCTTATTTAGCTGTGGATTTAGATTTATTTGGAAAAATACTTTGTGAAAGTAACAATGATAAACTAGCACAGTTTTAAAAACTTTTTAAAAAACTTAGCTAAATGAAATGCTGTTTTTAGCATCTTTAACTAAAATAATAACAAACATATTTTGCATTAAGTTCCCATCTTTCTTGATGGAATCCAAAATCCTTCCAGTAGCTCTATGCATATGGTCCCCTGGCTTTTCTCTTACAGTGTCTCTGCTAACAAGTCTCTTCTTCTTTGACCACTTTGTATAAAATAACAACCCCCAGTCTCCTGTATTTCCCTTTCCTTATTCTACTTTATCTCCAAAACTCCTACTACTGTCTAACATACATCTTTTAAAAAATATATTCTCTTACCTGGCTAAAAGATAAGTTCCATGAGGCCAAGGACTTTGTCCATTTTGTGCATTGTGGTAAGTTGTAGAACGGTACCAGCCACATAGTAGGAATTCAATAAATATTTGTTTAATGAATCAGTCAATTGCACTGTAATATCCTTTTGATTTATTCTTCTAATTATCAGTGAGATTTCAAAAGGGCTCCCTGCTTAAAAATAATTTCTTTCCAGATTTATGTCTCTGGGTTAGGTTTTTCTATCTAGATCACTTATGTCAGTAACAAAACAAGATAAAAACAATCTGCTGAAGAATTTTATAAAGCTAGTTATAGCAGTCTCCCATTATTTGTTGGACGATAACTCCACCTTTCTTTTATAAGCATCCTCTCATTAATTCTTCTTCAGCAGACTGTTTTTATAAACTTTTATAAGCATCATCTTATTAATTCTTCTAAGTAATTCAAAGTATGATATTATTCTCAGTTTATAGATAAGGGATCTAAGGTTTAGGGAAGTTATATAAAATATCTAGAGGTACACAGAACTAGGATTCAAACCTAGGTCTATCTTAGTCTAACGCTTGAGTTCTGAAACATTGTACTTTTTCTCAGTTTCGAGTGTATTATTTGTAAAGACAATTGCCAATTTAGTACGAATACAGATAGGTTAGCGTATTAGGATAGATCACACCAACATTTTGAGGGATGGGAGACTTTGGATATTTAGAGAAGATGAAGAGTGTGTGAAAGATTTGTGGGATACTTCTAGAGAGGTTTTTAGTGTGATCTGCAAGGGGGACACTGATTAGTGGAGGAAAAGCCTGAAGCATTGAACATCTGGGAAGGATGGCATTGTCTAACAGGGATTGAATGATAGAGAAATTTTTAAAAATGAATATCATGACTGAGTTTTGTTAGGCAAATTATAACCAGTAAATAAACCCACTTAGACTTTAATTTATAATCAATTGGAAATAACTGAAAATTATTTTACATGCTTTAAGTTATGTTTCTAAAAACAGTGAAATGGTAAAATGAACCTTACGCTTCATGGATAGGGTGTTTTAAGTCAATGGAGAAGAGAGATGGAGAGAGGAAGAAGAAGCGAAAGAGGGAGGGGAGAAGAGTATGTGTGTTTAGCACAGAAAGATTTTATAGATATATAATGTTATATAAATATATATAATATTTACTTCATATTAATTGATACCAATCCTCTTTTTCATTGGTATATTTATACATTTCTAAGTCATTCAGGCTATATATAATGCTTATCTTAGGCTAAGACAGCAAACTTGTCAAGCTTGATTTGTAATGGCATAATTACCGTGCTTTCATCAGGTTGACTAGAAATTATTTGTGTTAGAAATAGCAAAACAATTTTTCCAGTGTTTTCATTTCTGTTCTCGTGGTCAGCCTTTCACAATCTAAAGAAAGTTCATTTCTTATTTGTCTGTGATGTGAGGCCATTGACAATTCTTATGCTTAATTTATACTGTTGTTTTTTAACATAAGAATGCATTCTACAACTTTAATTTTTGTGAGTTAAAACAACTTTTCCAATCTGTTTTTTTGGTGTAACTAAGACGTTAGTCAGGACTGGAGTTCTGGGTTCCTTCCACATACCATCTTAATATGGTTGTGTTTACTGTGATGTTTTTGAGATACTCATTTCAGACCTTCTTATGCCTGCTTCTAGAGGAATTACTTTTATAGCTAGTCCATATTCCACAAAGGAATATTGTATTTTTATGAGCTTTTCTTATTGATTAGAATTGGTTGACAACTGTACTGTATTTTACATTAGAAAATCTGGTCATCTTCATATCATAGTTAATAAGCTTTCTGATTTATTCACTGAATTGATTATACAAAAGCTGTTGTCCTTGTTTTTAAGTTAAGCTTGCTTGTTTAGGCATTCTAACAGAAAGTTAAAAATTTGCTGTTCCCTTTTTTTTTGAACCCTGTTACCCTTCTATCCAGTCTGTATATGTCTGTATAATATATATAATTACATACATGATGATAGTTACATATAAGTATTGCAATTTATTCTCCTAATATTGGTTATATTAGGGGTGTCCAATATTTTAGCTTTTCTGGGCCACATTGGAAGAAGAAAATTTGTCTTGGGCCATACTTGAAATATACTAACACTAATGATACTTGATGAACTGAAAAAAATTGCAAAAAAAAAAAAGTCACAATGTTTACAGAAAGTTTACAAATTGTGTTAGACCACATTCAAAGCTGTCTTGGAGTTCATGCAGCCTACAGGCCACAGGTTGAACAAGTTTGGTTTATATGAAAGGTCGAGAATATGAAATGTGTGTGACTGGTTTGTGTATCCTTTTATTGTTTCAGGCACAAGATTTAATAGTATTTTGCTTTTATGATTCACTCAAATGGTGATGTCAGTGTTCTTTTGCAAGTAATGTATTTTCTCCTTGTTACAGGTCCTTTTGTTTTGCATCACAGCTGCCATGTACATGTTCTTTTTCAGGTAGGTTCTGTTATACCTATTTACTGTAATACCCCAAACAGTATCCCTTTGTAATTTCATCAACCGTGAAACTAAAGTATTCTCCAAATAATTATCCCTTACAAGCAGCATACTTCCCCCCACACCCAGAGTGGACAGAGATAAAGCATTGCTTCTTCATGAGTAAAGAAAAGAGAAAGAGAGGGAATGAAGATTGATTCCCACCCCCCATTCTATTTATAAGTTCATCCTAGAAAGTTGAGTATGTCAATTAACAGGACTCAAATTCTGATAAGTGAATTTTTATCTTTTATGGACCTGATTGTATGTAAATACCTAAGTATTTTTCACTCAGCTTATAAAACAATCAACATTTTACATTTCAATAAGAAAAAAGTGACAGTAGAGCTCTAGCTAAGCATTCTGCAAAGACACCCTAGCGCACTGAGAGTCTGTAAACTATTGTTTGTTATAATGCCAACGTTGTACTTTTCACTGACACCGGAAGAGTGTTAGGATGGCCCAAGATTTAAATGCCAGTAAGAAGGATTTCTGTCATCTTCGTATAATCCCAGCAGTGTGCAATGTGATTTTTGATTAGGGAGAGTCCCCTCCTTTATAATCTTTATTTATTTTTAATGATACCAATTAATTTCCATTTATTTTACTCTTATTGCCCTCATTTGAATAGACCTTTTTGGTATTTACGGATCTAGCAAAAGTAAGTCTTAGCAGACAGGACCAGACTTTTCAAATTAAAATTTGTGCTTAATTAACAAAGACAGTTGCGGATTTTTAGTAGGATATATTTGGTAGATATATATATATTTTTTAAGAATAAAACAATCCAACCATATCAGAATTTTTTTTTTTAAATTATTTTTAATTTTTGTGGGGACATAGTAGTTGTACATGAGATGTTTTGATACAGGGATATGATGCATAATAATCAAATGCTATTATCTTATGTGTTACAAACAATCCAATTTACACTCTTAGTTATTTAAAAATGTACGATGTATTATTGATGATAGTCACCCTGTTATGCTATCAAATAGTAAGTCTCATTCTTTCTTTTTCTATACCCATGAATCACCCCCACCTTCCCCTACACCCCACTACTCTTACCACCCTCTGGTAACCATCATTCTACTCTCTATGTCCATGAGTTCAATTGTTTTGATTTTTAGATCCCACAAATAAGTGAGAACATGTGACATTTTCCTTTCTGTGCCTGGCTTAATTCACTTAACATAATGATCTCCAGTTCCATCTATGTTGCAAATGACAGGATCTCATTCTTTTTTGTGGCTAAATAATACTCCATTGTTTATATGTACCACATTTTCTTTATTTATTCATCTGTCAGTGGACACTTAGCCTCCTTCCAAATTTTGCTATTGTGACCAGTGCTGCAACAAACATGGGAGT